ATGTATGTATGTATGTATGTATGTATGTATGTATGTATGTATGTATTATATATATATATATATATATATGTGTGTGTGTGTGTGAATGTGATCGAGTAGAGTGAGTGGGTGAGTAAGTGAGTGTCTTTAACTTCAACCACATACCCAGAAGCCTTGGGAAGGTAACGGCTGAGAACATTGCGGCTGTCCTTGAGGTGACCTCTGTGGATGACTCCCAGAGACGCAGTGGCTGTGAACTTCGCCCAATTCGTTGCGCGCCCAAGCCATTCTGTATATGGGAGAGTTCGGTACACAACCAGTCAGTGATGATTTTTGAAATTTCAGTACGGTAGGGTTTATGGCTTGGGGTTTAGGGTGTAGAATGTATTAGCAAGGTTCGCCCACGGGAAAGGTCGAAACGGGATTGGCGAGGTGTGGTGTGTCTATAGCTTGTATAAGTAGCTGATGGATGTACATACCTAAGTAGTCGATCAAGTTACCAACAAGAGCTCCCTGAGTTGAGATATATATATCACTAGATAGTAGCACCAACCCAGACGTGTGGACGGTGTCACCAGCGTGTGTGTATAGCTTGTATAGATACCTGATAGATGTACGTACATACCTAAGAGCGTGTGTCTATAGGTTGTATAAATACCTGATGGATGTACATACCTAAGTTGTCGTACAGGAATTGATGGACGGTAGTTCCGGCGTGCATGAAACTGTTGGCAATGACCGTGGCGGTGTGGCACGCGGAGATCCGAGTGGTGACGTCCTGTTGTGACAAGACATGATTATACGACATACATTAGCAGGCGATGGATTTTGCGACGTACCCGAATTGTGCAATGTAGTTGAGCTATAATAATAATAAAGCGAATATGCGACACCTCTACGCAATGGCAACCATGCGGCGACGTGAGATTGGCATACGGCAACAAACTGCTAAATACATCCGTATATAGAATTATATCGGCCAATTAGATACCAGATAACTTGGAAGATACCATTGCATATACTCTTGAGCTAGTGAAGCGTTAAAACGTTCAACACCTTATGAGAAAAATAAAGACCACACACACACTACAATAAAACGAGTACTGATATTTGGTACCGAAGCAACGCACACCATTCGAGACCGTGTTTTGTCACTCGTTACCGAACTGCACACGCACATTTGTTTCTGCTGAATTGCCAAATAGCAATTAAATATTGACAACACAAATACTCCCAATCTGTAATTATTCAACACCGGCCGGTAGTCACCGATCCATTCCAAACATCAGGAAGTGTGTATAACAATCGCATATATAGATATAAACATACCTAGGCTCGCCTAAACCCTAGCTATGCCTCTGAATACTAGTATGTATATAAAACATCAGATACATAGACTCTCAATCCTAAGCCCACACACCAACGGTTCATCTGAACAGCCATAGCACATTCCAAAATCAGACAGATACACTCATTAACCCAGAACCCTAAACCGGCTCACCTTTGTTTTCTCGAGGATCATCAAGTCAGCATGATTATTACGGAACAAGAACTCGACCTCCAGTCCAATAGTAACCTCGCCCGAGAGGATTTCTATGGCATTTTCCATACGAATCTTTGTATCTCCCTAGGTATTGGTGATATCCATGGCAAAAGAATAAGTACCAACAATTCAATACATATCATCTTGTCAGATATTTGTTACAATATATACATTTATAAATATAAATATAAATATATATATATATATGTGTGTGTGTGTGTATGTGTGTGTGTGTATGTGTGTGTGTGTATGTGTGTGTATGTATGGATATATGTATGTATGTATGTACGGACGGATGTATGGATGTATGGATGTATGGA